GGCCAAGTAGGGGTTGCTCTAGAAAGGAGAGAGCCTCAAAAACCACCTCCAAGCAATTAATATAGACGAAGGGGCCCTAGGACTTGCATGAAGGTATTTTCCAATCTCCTTCCATACTGTAGTTTTGATACTGCCTTTAGCCGGATAAGAAGGGCAGTGTTGTCAAATGTATTCTAGGAGTTCCTCAATAGAGGTTTTTGTGAGGGGGGCATGAAGGGAGCTCCCCTTTTTAAAGGTAAAAAAATTTCGTTTGGTCAATTCTCTAATTTCCTGAATGTGAGCTGCCTGCTCCTTAGAGAATCTACCACCCATACTCACGAGGGATCCGTTGTCGCCAGTGATTCAAGCGGATGGGGTGCACCAAGTCTATTCCAGACGATGAGAATGGGTGTGCCAAAGACGTATCACTTTTAGTGGATCACGTCGGGGTCACCAGTTGTGGTGGTCTCTCATGAAAAGAAGACACAACGCAGGGTTGTCTCGGGATGAGAGCTCAGAGCAAACCCTGAAACCCTCTTTTATTAGAAGCAATCTTTGTTAACGTAGCAATTTTTGTTAGCGTCCTATCACAAACGTATTACATCACACAAAATGCACTGATCATTCACATAAGCACACAAAGCTGCAAAGTTTAAATTTGCTACAGTTCTGGGTAAGAAATGGCAACAATTTGTCCTTGCTCCTTGCTTCGTGTTGCAGCCAACCACCAGAAGGCTCCGTTGTCCTAGCACGTACACAAAGAACAAAGAATAATTCCCACTCTACTCTATTCTATTCTATTCTATTCTATTCTATTCTATGTTCTATCCTACCCTATCCCATTCCGTTCCATTCCATTCTATTCTCTATTCCCCACCAGACAAATGACCAAAAAGAAAACAATGCCCTAATGAAGGAACCACCAAGCCCTCTTGCTGAAGAGTTAAGTTCCCAGCTGAGGTTGGGTGCTTCTCATTTCCTGTTCATGCACTGGGACACATCCTGAACATTCTGGCTTTCTGGCTGCCTCCATGTTTCCTCATCTAGCCATCACTTTCACTCCTGGCCATAATGGTGTACGACAGAGATGGACTCTGCTGAGCCCCAGCTGTGACCCGTGACATCCAATGGCTTCAGTCACTGTACACTTTGTAATTCCAACATGCAAACATGTGTTGCAATCCAGGATCCTATTTTGCAACTCAGAATCCGGGAAGGAGCAGCAGCCCCAGCTCTGCCCTACGCGAAGCCCAGCTGCTAACACGATGGGCCTCTGTTGATAAAGATCTCGGTTACCTGCCCCACCTATTTGTCCTATCAAGGGAAAAGCTAACAATTGACAGGGTTGAGAAAGATACCTTGTTAGCTTTCCATTTCTCCTGCTTCCTCAACAGCCTTCGCACTTCCTCCAAGCAGGACTTAAATACCCATCCCTCTGGCCCCAACTCTCACTCCCAGCACCATGAAGGCTGCTCACGGCTTCCTCCTCCTTCTGGGTCTCCTCTTCCTCTTCACAGAGCTTCCCCTTTCGAGGGGACAAATGGGTAAGGGGGGGGAAACACCCCCATGAAGCAACTATTGCCAACCCTCAACGCATCTTAGTCTTTCTGAGGGTTTCATCCAGTTGATTCTGCTAGAGAGATACAGAGAGGGGGGGAGAGAGAAAGGGAGAGAGAGATGCAGAGAGAGAAAGGGAGGGAGAAAGAGGGAGGGAGAGACAGGGAGAGAGAGAGACATAGAAGGGGTAGGGAGAGAGGGGGAGGGGGAGAGAGAGACATAGAGTGATAAAGAGAGGGGGAGAGAGAGAAGGGAAGATAGAGAGAGGGGGGAGAGAGATACAGAGATACAGAGAGAGAGGGAGGGAGGAAGAGAGGGGGGAGAGAGTGTATGATATAGAGAGGGGGAGAGAGTGACATAGAGTGATATAAAGAGAGAGGGGGGAGAGAGAGAGAGTAGGGAGAGGAGAGGAGAGGAGAGGAGAGGGGGAGAGAGAGACATAGAGTGATAGAGAGAAGGGGGGAGAGAGGGGAAGATAGACAGGGAGAGGGGGAGAAAGAGATACAGAGAGAGGGGGAGGGAGGGAGGAAGGGGGAGAGAGAGACGGAGCATGATATATAGAGAGAGGGGAAGAAAGAGAGGGAGAGAGAGGGAGAGGGAGAGAGAGTGATATAGAGAGAGGGGGAAAGAGGGGAGAGATACAGTGAGAGAGATACAGAGAGAGAGAGAGATGAGGGAGAGAGAGACATAGAGTGATGTAGAGAGGGGAGAGAGGGGAAGATAGAGAGGGAGAGGGGGAGAGGGAAAGATACAGAGAAAGAGGGAGGGGGAAGAGTGGAGGAGAGAAAGAGAGAGACATAGACTGTTATAGAGAGAGGAGGGAGAGAGAGAAGGGTGTTGTGGTTCCTGGAGGTGTTTTTTTAACAACCGGTTCTCTGCCCTAAGGACTGACTGTGTGGGCGTGGCTGGGGGGGGTCCTGTGGCTGGGTGGGAGTGAGTGACATGGAGTTGGCCACGCCCACCCAGGTTTTGTGGCTCCAGGTGTTTCCTTTTTCCCTGTGGGAAAAGGGTCCAAGTGGGTCTTTGAGTGTTTAAGGTTGCAGCCCCACCCCCGTGCTAGGGGTTTGCCCGGACCCCCTTAAGGAAGAGCCAGAAGAGAGATCAGCAAATGGAATGAGAGAATTAAGGGGAGGGCGGGGCAAGGGAGGTGCAAGGAATCAGGACGATGGGTTAGGTGGCCCATAGAGGGTGGATCCAAGCCCATAAATGAGAACCTGGATGACTCAAGTTCAGAACAATCTGGCCGCCAGATAAAGAGCGGTGCAAAGTCCCTTATTTTGCAGAGGGGAGTGGTTTGGGTGGTTTGATCTTTTATTTATTGACGCAACGATTCTCAGTACTGCTGTGTTGGGAGCCAACTTCAAAAGGACAGTTAATGTGACTCTGGTTTTCAAGAGACCTTCATTGTTCAGCAATGGGCCACTTAAAATAATTATTTTACACACCACCAAATGAGAAACATTCATGTATTGACCCTTTAACTTTTTTATACAAAATCAGGGTTTTTTATATTTATATATAAGCATTTTGAATACAATGTATTGTCCGGGCATACCATTTTAGAAAAGAAAAGGGAAAAAGAAAAAAGAAATAGTAACATATATACTGATAGCAACAGAATGATTCTAACCATATTTATAATTATACTAGCTCGATATAGTATAATAGTTTTTGGGGAGGAAAATAAGGGGGGGGGATTCTGCCTCTGCCTACCAGCATCCATCGGTATTCATCTGGCTAGCGTCCTGTCAGTGTGTTTGGAAAGTGAAACAGTATTTGCTGTGTGAGCAAGGAGGAGACAGCAAGGAGTCTGGGCGTGGCTTAGCTCAACTTCTTCTGTACTAAAGCTGCTTGGTGCTGTGAAACTGAAAGTGAAAGTGAAACTCCTCTCCTCTGTTTGCACTTTGCTTTGGGAAGAGATTTCCTTTCAGTTGGGGAGGGGGAGTAGAACTCCTTAGCATCAGAGCGTGTTAATAATAATAATAATATAGGAAATACTCTCTAAATACTCTAATACTCTAAATGCTCTGATGGCCACTTGGAAAAATCCTTTCTTAGTGAGCACCTAGAAGCCAAGAGGAACATACGTGCCAAATTTTAGGCTTTACAGTTCCTGAGAGTTTGCGATGATGCATGAGTGGCATTTCGCTTTAATATAGAGAGATGAGCTTATTTGTAACACTATTGATTATACACTGCTCAAAAAAATAAAGGGAACACAACAATAAGACATCCTAGATCTGAATGAATGAAATATTCTTATTAAATACTTTGTTCATTACATAGTTGAATGTGCTGACAACAAACTCACACAAAAATGATCAATGGAAATCAAATTGAGCAACCCATGGAGGTCTGGATTTGGAGTTACACTCAAAATTAAAGTGGAAAAAAACACTACAGGCTGATCCAACATTGATGTAATGTCCTTAAAACAAGTCAAAATGAGGCTCAGTAGTGTGTGTGGCCTCCACATGCCTGTATGACCTCCCTACAATGCCTGGGCATGCTCCTGATGAGGTGGCGGATGGTCTCCTGAGGGATCTCCTCCCACACCTGGACTAAAGCATCCCCCAACTCCTGGACAGTCTGTGGTGCAATGTGGCATTGATGGATAGAGCGAGACATGATGTCCCGGATGTGCTCCATTGGATTCAGGTCTGGGGAACGGGCGGGCCAGTCCATAGCATCAATGCCTTCATCTTGCAGGAACTGCTGACACACTCCAGCCACATGAGGTCTAGCATTGTCGTGCATTAGGAGGAACCCAGGGCCAACTGCACCAGCATATGGTCTCACAAGGGGTCTGAGGATCTCATCTCAGTGCCTAATGGCAGTCAGGCTAGGTCTGTTGAGCACAGGGAGGGCTGTGTGGCCCCCTAAAGAAATGCCACCCCACACCATTACTGACCCACTGCCAAACTGGTCATGCTGGAGGATGTTGCAGGCAGCAGAACATTCTCCACGGCATCTCCAGATCCTGTCACATCTGTCACATGTGCTCAGTGTGAACCTGCTTTCATCTGTGAAGAGCACAGGGCACCAGTGGCGAATTTGCCAATCTTGGTGTTCTCTGGCAAATGCCAAACATCTTGCATGGTGTTGGGCTGCAAGCACAACCCCCACCTGTGGACATCGGGCCCTCATACCATCCTCATGGAGTCTGTTTCTGACCGTTTGAGCAGCCACATGCACATTTGTGGCCCACTGGAGGTCATTTTGCAGGCCTCTGGCAGTGTTCCTCCTGTCCCTCCTTACACAAAGGCGGAGGTAGCAGTCCTGATGCTGGGTTGTTGCCCTCCTACGGCCTCATCCATGTCTCCTGATGTACTGGCCTGTCTCCTGGTAGTGTCTCCATGCTCTGGACACTACGCTGACAGACACAGCAAACCTTCTTGCCACAGCTCGCATTGATGTGCCATCCTGGATGAGCTGCACTACCTGAGCCACTTGTGTGGGTTGTAGACTCCGTCTCATGCTACCACTAGAGTGAAAGCACCACCAGCATTCAAAAGTGACCAAACCATCAGCCAGAAAGCATAGGAACTGAGAAGTGGTCTGTGGTCACCACCTGCAGAACCACTCCTTTATTGGGGATGTCTTGCTAACAGCCTCTGCTTTCCACCTGTTGTCTATTCCATTTGCACAACAGCATGTGAAATGGATTGTCAGTCAGTGTTGCTACCTAAGTGGACAGTTTGATTTCACAGAAGTGTGATTGACTTGGAGTTACATTGTGTTGTTTAAGTGTTCCCTTTATTTTTTTTGAGCAGTGTATTAGTATACTTGAGGTTATAAACATTGTTCATGTTTAACTTATACCTAACAATGCTTTTTCTTCATCTAATTTCAACCTCCTTTCTCTAACCATTGATAAAACCTATTCCACGTTAAGTAATACTCTGTATCAGTGGTGGGATTCAAATTTTTTTACTACCGGTTCTGTGGGCGTGGCTTGGTGGGCATGGCAGGGGAAGGATACTGTAAAATCTCTAGCCAGAGGTTGGATTTGCCGGTTCTCCAAATTACTCAAAATTTCTGCTACCAGTTCTCCAGAACTGGTCAGAACCAGCTAAATACCACCGCTGCTCTGTATCTCCCTTATCTCTTATTTTCAATGTCAGTCTATCCTTCTCTGCACAATCCAACATTTTTTGGTTTGTTTAGTTTGGCATAATAAGCTGACATAGAACAAAAAACAAATACATCCCACAAACCCCTGGAATGTTCTCCTTTTCAGTGAAGCCTGGGGGGTGTCCCAGGGCAGCTCCAAACTCCTTCCAGCCTTGTGTCCAGACATGTGAAAGTGACGAAGACTGTTCAGGGAAGCAGAAGTGTTGCCTTTTTGCTTGCAACGTTCAGTGCATGGATCCCATCTAAGGTAAGAGCATTGGGTCTTATACCACTCTGTAGAGTTTCATAGATCCCAGCATGGACTGGATCCAAGCGGAACTCTCTGGAATCCTTGAAACTTCCATCCTTCTTGGATCTGTCCTTGGATGAGCCAAGACCCAAGTACGATGGTGAGGAAAGGAGACCATCTGTTATGGCCCACCAGAGGAGCTGATGGCCAACTCGGACAGTGAGGAGGTTGGGGAGGAGCATGGGCGAGGCCTGGAGTCTGGGGAAGGCTCTGACGAGGACTCTGCATCAGAGGCAGAGATGGGGCCAGGGCCGTCCGACAGTTATCAGCTGCTTTCAGAGTTGGAGGTCAGTGGGGAAGAAGAAAACCTGGAGCCTGTTCCCAGTGTGCGCATGCACAGAGCTGCCAGGAGAAGGGAACAGCTAAGGAACAAGGGTTGACTCAAGAGTAAAAGCTCAGGTAGACAGAGAATGGCCCCTCCCAGAGGGAATAAAGAGGAGCGAAAGGGGAGTGGGGCTTTGCAGGAGACAATTAGTTCATTTAATTAGTGTGAAGATTTGTTCGTGACTCTCAGAGATTCCTTGCCAAGTATTTCCTTGGACAGCATTGCACTTGGAAGCTATTGGCCTGGCAGCTTTCCAAGTCTGATAAGGTTTGTGGTTGTAATTCACCCTTGAAAGACGGTTTGCCGGGACTTTGCTGGATGGGAATGATAGGAATTCACATTAGCCTAATAAAAGGGATTTTATCGGGACAAGGAATCTGCTTCGTGGTTTTGTGAAGCCTAAGTCAGAACATGATTCAGACCTTCTCCGGCCATTAGAGACCATGCAGTGATGGCCAGTCCCACCTCAGAAGGAGGGCCAGAGAGGGTGGGGGAGGGGAAGTTCTGAGCCTCCTGAAGGGAGGGTCCGATTCTGTCTTAGGAAGATTGGGGTGGGGGCTCTTGGACTGCAAAGTCTTTCCTCTTTGCCCCCTTGAGAGAAGGAAGGCCCCCATCCTGCCACTGAGTTGACATTTATGGAGAAGGCTTCTGAATCAAGGACAGCACCCAAAACACCCACAATCAATGCTCACCACAGTTGTCATTTATTTATTTTATTTACTTTTATTTGTCAATTGCTTACAAGATAATAGGTATAAGTAAAAACATAGTTATGAATACATGGATACATATAAGAAAAAATAAATAAAAGAAACAATAGGACAGGGACGGTAGGCACGTTGGTGCGCTTATGCACGCCCCCTACAGACCTCTTAGGAAAGGGGTGAGGTCAATAGTAGACAGTCTAAGTTTTTGGGGTTTGGGGAAGAAACCACAGAGTCAGGTAGAGGATTCCAGGCATTGACTACTCTGTTGCTGAAGTTTTATTTCCCGCAATCAAGTTTGGTGCGATTAACCTTGAGTTTGTATCTATTGTTTGCTCTTGTGTTGTTATGGTTGAAGCTGAAGTATTTATTGACAGGTAGGACATTGCAATGTATGATTTTATATACCATGCTTAAGTCAGACCGAAGACGGCGTAATTCAAGGTTTTCTAGGTCTAGAATTTCAAGTCTGGTGGTATAAGGTGTTCTGCAACGAGTAGAGGAGTGGAGAACTCTTCTTGTGAAATATTTCTGGACTTTCTCAACTGTGTTAATATCAGATGCGTAATGTGGGTTCCGGACTGATGAGCTGTATTCGAGCATTGGTCTAGCAAATGTTTTGTATGCTCTAGTTAGTAGTGTGATATTACTAGAGAAAAAGCTACGCAGGATTAGGTTAAAAACTCTTAACATCTTTTTGGCTATGTAGTTACAGTTAATTAACTATGTAGTTAAGTTTGTAGTTAACTATGTAGTTTACTGAGAGCCCACTGGAAGAATCCCTTTCAGAAAACCATGCTAGGGATTCCTACAGACAAAATGATGCCCCCGTATTTATACAATTCTGGAGGGCAGGGAGGAGAAAATGATATAGTCATACATAGGTAATAGATGATGCAAGTGTGAATATTCATAATTAGCAAGTCTCAAGCTTCTTTCCTGCCCTTCCGCTGTTATTAGTCTCAAGAAAGGGAGGCTCATCCCATCTTATTGTACACCTGTTGTGCATTAACAATAAAGGTTTGAAAATGAAATTGAGTTATTGTCTTAAAAAAGAGAAAGAAACATAGAACTTCTACTGCCACAGTAATTTTGATAAACCTATTGAGACCCTCAAGGTTACTCCAATTAACACATATACCATCTATATCCTCCAAGATGTCTATGGAGATTCTGCCTCATCCAGGTCATGGTTGCCCCAGAGGTGCTTATTTTTTTTCAAGAGGCAACTGGGCCTTCTGGTTTTTCCTTGAAGACATTTCGCTTCCCATCCAAGAAGCTTCTTCAGCTCTGACTGGATGGTGGGGAAGGGAAGGATTTATGCTCCTTGCAGAGAGCTGGTCATTTGCCTCCTTTTAGAGGGTCATTAAAGTTTAAAAGACAAAGGCCGCTCTTTGGAAGACAGCAAAGTCCATATTTTGGGCAGAGAAAACTGCTGGTATGAAAGAGGGGTCTAAGAGGACATCTAGGTCCACATTAAACAGCCCCTTTCTTAACAGAGGGGGATGGATAACGACATCATCTATCTCCAGTCTACAGCACTGTCCTTTCAGCGGTTCCACATCCATTTGCACCAGTCAGGTGAACCTGAGGACACAGGTGTCAGCCTTGGAAGCCATATTTCACTTAGAAGCTTCAAGGCTGCCACATTTTGTGCTTCTAAATTTGGGAGGTGGGATTGAATAGAGAGGTGGAAGATTAGACTCAACCACATTCCTTTCTCAGAGAGTCAAGGACAAGTTGTCTTGCACCTGGAGGGGAGTGACTGGAGGGTCTACAGTTGGGACGGAGATTAGGTTGGACCACGGGATGGACTGGTGGGTGCAGGGGAGGGGGGCTTTGATTTCTCTTTTGGAAAGGGAAAACCTGGAACTCTCCGCTTCAGGTTTTCCCAGAAGTGCCAAAATGACAACTCTAGTAAAATGGACCTTTGAGAAAATGCCTGTCTTGGAGTTTATTGGTTTGGAGCTGGTTAGCTGGAACACTGACAACACATCAGCTTCCAGGTGGCCTCGACGACTCTCTATAAGGATGCAAATGTCCGGCTGTCTGCAAGGAATTGAAGAAGGCACCATTGGGTTTTCTTCTTTCCCCTTTTCCTTCTTGTGGGTAGGAAGGACCTGGTCCTGCCATTTACTGGATATTTTTTGAGAAAGTTTCCAGTGGCTTCAAGAGATCCCTCATGCCTGACTCTGTCTCTTTTCACAGGACCCTTTGGGTGGCAACTGGATCTTTCTGCATGAACTTCGCCTTTCCAAATTGTGGCTAGTGGTCCAACTTGACCCAAAGACCCTTCTTCTGTCCTGGAAAACCTTCTCCAAAACACACCGAGGTTCATTCCTTCTTCTCTTCAATAAAGCATTGGATTCTGGCTTCCCTCTCGGTCTCTTGTGTCTCCTTCTGCCCCTTTTCCCTCCCCCCCTCTCCCCCCCTCCACAAGAGCAAGAGGGGCCGAGCCACAGAGCGTCTTTCCAAGAGAGAGGGAAGGAGGAAAGATCCCTGATGGGCCAACCTCTGAGAAAGTAGGCCCAGGTTGGGTGAAGAAATGACAGAATAACACAATCACAGAAGTTGGAAAGGACTTCTAGTCCAGGGGTCACCAACCTTTTGGACCTCAGGGAACACCAAACTCATAATTTTAAATCCCACTGAATGTTGACTGACGGTGGCTTGCTGACGTTGGTGGGAAAGTGGCTCCCATATTCCAGAGCTGCAGGAGTCACAGGACTGGCCTTTTGGTCACCCTGGAGCAGCTGCTCCTCCACTGGGGTGTACTGGCCTGCCATGGACTGGAGGAGGAGCTGCTCCGGGATGACCAAAGGGCCAGTCCTGTGAGTACTGCAGCTCTGGAATAGGGGACCGACTTTCCCACCAACGTCAGCAAGCCACCCCGGGGCGGATTTCCCTCCCCTGCCGTTGGTCTTGCCTTCCAGTTCCAGCTCGCCTGGCTCTACTCAAGGTTTGCACTCAGCCGAAGGGTGGGGGCCAGTGGGTGGGCAGGCCATGTGGGCAGCCTTGTGTTCCTGTGCAGCCTGGATTAATTGCTTTGGGGGGGGACATTTCTCTGCGGACCACCAAATTTTTCTCGCGGACCACCAGTGGTCCCCGGACCACCAGTTGGCGACCACTGTTCTAGTCCAACCCCTTGCACAAGCAGGAAACCCTATACCATTTCTGACAAATGATGAGCCACGGTGGTGCAGTGGTCAGAATGCAGTACTGCAGGCTACTTCTGCTGACTGACTGCAATTTGGCAGTTCGAATCTCACCAGGCTCAGGGTCCACTCAGTCTTCTGTCCTTCCCAGGTGGGTAAAATGAAGACCCAGATTGTTGGGGGGAAGAGGCTGACTCTGTAAACTGCTTAGAGAGGGCTATAAAATGTGAAGCGGTATATAAGTCTAAGTGCTATTGCTACCTTCCTGCTTATTACATTTCTTTCCTTCCTTCCTTCCTTCCTTCCTTCCTTCCTTCCTTCCTTCCTTCCTTCCTTCCTTCCTTCCTTCCTTCCTTCCTTCCTTCCTTCTAAAGAATGACTCAGCCTTCCGTCCTTCCCAGGTGGGTAAAATGAAGACCCAGATTGTTGGGGGCAAGAGGCTGACTCTGTAAACTGCTTAGAGAGGGCTGTAAAGTACCATGAAGCAGTATATAAGTCTAATGGCTATTGCTATTTTCCTTCCTTCCTTCCCAGTATTTTCCTTCTTTAAAATTAAAACCATCCTTCCTTCCTTCCCAATGATTAGAATGCAGTATTGCAGGCTAATTTTGCCAACTGCCAGCAGTTCGATCCTGACTGGCTCCAAGTTGACTCAGCCTCCCGTCCTTCTGAGGTGGGTAAAATGAGGAGCCAGATTGTTGGGGGCAAGAGGCTGACTCTAAACCGCTTAGAGAGGGCTGTAAAAGCACTGTGAAGTGGTATACAAGTCTAAGGGCTATGGCTATTGCCCAATCTCTTCTTAAAAACCTTCAGTGATGGATGTCTATGGAGATTCTCAGTTACCCAGGTCATGGTTGTCTTAAAAGACACTTTTTTCAAAAGGCAACTGGACTTTGTTTTTCCTCAAGGGAAAAAAAAAAACATAGCCAAGTTACCTTTGGAAAAAGCACCTGTGAGACTCCAGTGGAGGAAGAACCTACAAGTTCTGGAGGCAAGTTGTTCCACTGATTAATTGTCCTCACTATCAGAAAATTCCTCCTTAGTTCTAGGTTGCTTCTCTCCTTGGTTAACTTCTACCTGTTGCTTCTTGTCCTGCCTTCAGGTGCTTTGGAGAATAGCTTGACCCCCGCCTCCTCCTCTCTGGGCCAGCCCCTCAAATACTGGAATGCTGCTCTCCTGTCTCCCCTGGTCCTTCTCTTCTTCCCTAGACTAGCCAGGCCCAGTTCCTGCAACCGTCCATCGTGTGTTTTAGCCTCCATTCCCCTCATCATCCTGGTTGCTCTTCTCTGCTCTCTTCCCGGAGTCTCAACATCATATTTTTTATATATATTGTGGCAACCCAAACTGGATGGTTCACTGGGCAGGGATCCTGTTGGGCTCTTCTGTCTTCCCCTGTTGATCCTCTGGGCCACAGCACATCCTGTTTCCCTTGCACTGGGCCAGAGAACAATGGTATCCGGTACCCATCAATGCACAGATTCAACTGCCAAACTGTCGGTCAGTTGAGGCAAACAAAGTGTTCCAGGACACAATGAGATTTCTATCAAGTGCATACAGCTCATCGACGCAAAGCCACTACAATGCATGTGCCAGAACAAAGGGCATCCCCACAGCAAGGTGGGATCAGGGACTCCCTGCCCCAGATCAGACACCGAGCTGGCAGGCCAAAGACACCGCCCGGAGGGACCTCAGCAGGGAGAATGGGTGTCCAAGGAGCCATGTTGGTCTCCATGGCTACACAGTCAAACCGCTGCTCTTTTTCCTTCTGGCTTTCAGATGGTTTTAGATTACCAGCAAAAGAAAATCTTTGTAGCTCAGGGTTGAACTGAGGGGTCCTTGGGGGTCTCTGAGCTTAGTGGTTTTGAGATTACAGTGTGACTAAATGCCAAAGGCACACAGACTGCTGTTCCCTTCCCACCAAAGGGGTCCCTATTTTTCTACTTGCACTTTTTTTAACCTGCTTTCAAACTGCTAGGTTGGCAGAAGCTGGGACAAGGAACGGGAGCTCACTCCGTTATGTGGCAATGCTAGGGATTCAAACCGCCGAACTGCCGACCTTTATGATCGACAAGCTCAGCATCTGAGCCTCTGAGCCACCACATCCCTTTTATGGTGGGTAGCTTACACCATCCTAAAAGCAAAGAGAGCCAACATGAAGGCATTCATATAAGATTCGCAGAAATTAAATAAGTTAGGATCCAGAACGCAACAGGGTGGAGGTGGGATTTTAGGTCTCCAACCGGGATATGCTCCCTCGTCCAAAAAAAGGCATTAGCAATAAAAACCTTCCATGCAGGAATGGGCGTATGGCAAAATACGTGTCTTCCTGTTTACGCTTTCATCTTGAGATCCACACGATATTACAGAAGGAAAACAAACTTTGATGAGAACCCATTAGGTCAGTGATTCTCAACCTCAGTGAGTTTAAGGTGGGGGGGACTTCGATTCCCAGAATTCCCAGGCCAAGGGGAATTCTGGGAATCGAAGTCTACCTCTCTTAAACTTGCTGAATCTGTGAGAAACAGGGATTTGGAGGAAGAGGGATGGGCCAAAAATTAGGCTCAACTCAACTCACCACGCTTGTAGATGTAGTAAGCTTTCGCAGCTAAGGATGGGTACCACGTTACAAAAACAGATGAATTTGGGGAAAGGGCAGAGAAGAGTAACTAAGATGGTTAAAGAACGGTGGCAAGGAACTGGGTATGGCCAGTCTAGAGACAAGAGGGACTGGGGGGGACATGATAGCAGCCTTCCAGGGTCTGAGGGGCTGCCCCAAACAAGAGGGAGGCCCCACCCCTTCTCCAAAGCACTAAAAGGGAAGACAAGGACCAGTGGGTGGAAACTAAACAAGGAGAGAAGCCACCTGGAATTAAGGTGAAACTTCCTAGCAGGGAGGACATTTACTCAGTGGAACAGAAGTTGCCTCCAGAAGTTGTGGCTGCTTCATCCCTGGAGGTTTTTAAGAAGAGACTGGAAAGAATTTGTCTGAAATTGTATAGGGTCTCCTGCTTGAACAGGGGGTTGGACTAGAAGACCTCCAAGGTCCCTTCCATCTTCTCTTCTCTTCCCTTCCCTTCCCTTCCATTCCAGTCTATTCTATTCTATTCTGTTCTTTTCTGTTCTGTTCTATTCCGTTCCATTCCATTCCTCCATTCTATTCTATTCTATTCTATTCTATTCTATTCTATTCTATTCTATTCTATTCTAT